ACAGGTGACCTGGTCCTGGATCTTCTGGAGAGCTTTCTCGGCAGCAGTGGAGGGTTTGGCAGCCATGGCTCTGTCAGACTCGCTAGCGAGCCTTCAAAACTACCGGAACAGCCCTTCAGATCTAGTGGTTACTGGCCACTAGGACCTTATAAGGTTTTGGTGAAAGCTTTCACTGTTATTCTTTCACTGTGCCCTATTGTTTAGCCATGGCACATTCACCTAAGACAAGTTTGTCTCAATCACCCTCTGTGGGGGCCCTTTCAGAGTCTGCATACAGCACTGCAGGGCTACAATCCCAGGGTTTGGATGCTAAGAGCCATAAGTATGAAGGTACCAGGGTTTGGATGCTAAGAGCCATAAGTATGAAGGTACCAGGGTTTGGATGCTAAGAGCCATAAGTACTGTATGAAGGTATCACTGTACCTCATTGGTGCTGTTGGTGTCCTCTTCATCTGATCCAAATAGAGTCTCATCATCTTCCCCCCCTTCCTCTCCTCCCCCTTCCTCCCCTCTCCCTTCTGACATCACTCCCTCATTCACCACATCCCTGCATATACACATCACACACCAGAAAGACGTTAAAACCATCTTCAGCTGAAACTAACTTCAACTCCTGCGACTCCCCCCCCACACTCAATCAATGATGAGCAAAACCAAGACAGAACAGGTTACCTTACTGTTCAGTTGTAGGAAATTACGATGGAGAAAGCCTTTGTAAATTTCACGATGAGCCGTGTGCGAAATTTCCCCCCACAAAATTATATATTATGGCAGGGGACATTTGTATTGTGGGATATGGGCAATCTGCTACTTGTTTGGCAAAACTGGTGCTTGCTAGAGAAACAGTTTTCCAGTGCACTCTCCAGCTATAGTCGAGGTATTCAGAATGTTTTGTCGGTCTGTCCTTCCCCCCACTTGCTTGTTAAAAGTACAAACAATTTAGGCCACCCTATTCCTTCACTGCGCTCTCCAGCTACAGTCAAGGTATTGAGGATGGTTGGTTGGTCTGCCAAGTTTTATCCCTTTGTCTTACATACAGTGGGACCCCTCTCTAAAGACACTCCTTAAATATGGACACCTCTCTAATAAAGACACCTTTTCTTTCCCCAAGAACTGTTCTTGCATGCAATTCAACCCCTGAAATAAGGACACCTCACTAATATGGACACTTTCTTCTGTCCCATTGGTGTCCGGATTAGAGAGGTTCCACTGTACTAGTGATGGACGTTATCAACAGCATTGTAACTTATCAGGAAAGTTGACAGACGTGTCTTAACTCACAGGGAGGTGACAGATGCTACATCTCTCGACCGGGGTCTGTGCTGACTCCGCCCACTCTCGGACTCTGACCCCTGCAGAATGGGAGGATAGGAAGAGTAGTACACAACCCAACGACCAACAATAGAACACAGTACCATACTAGACTGTCTCCTTCTGCTCACACTTTCTCCCGCATTGCATGCAGAACCCTAACCTGGCCGTACAACTCCGTTTTCTTTGACAAGGCCCGTGCTAGCCATAATTGCACTGCATTAGACTCACCATCACAGTATATATAGTACAGTATAGAGAAAGGAAGGATCCGTGAGAAAACTTCAGTTAGTAAACTCTTAATAGGTTTACTGGTCACTGAGCGATGTCACTGCACGACACGCACGCACGCACACACGCACACACGCACGCACGCACACACACCAGTACTACTAAGTATTATAAAACCGTACCTTTCTGTCTTGTCTCCGTTTGAGTCTGGTGATGTCGCTCCTGGCAGTCTGGAGGAGCTCGCTGGTCTCCTGGTTGAATGGGAGAGTGGTCAAACTGGATTGACGACCTTGGAGGACCATGGACGGAGGACGCCGGTAGGGAGAGGAGGGGTTGTGGTGGCCAAGACTCTCACTCAACACCAGTCGACTCCTGGACACAGACAGGGAGGGAGGAGGGAGGGAGGGAGGAGGAGGAGGTGTACTAACAATGTCATTTATAGAGAGGTGTACTTTATGATTCACGTTAGTGTAGTTAAGTAAAGGACACAGTATGAAAGTAGCTAACTTGAGTTCCTCAATCTGTCTCATGTATCCCTTGATGACAGTGGGGAGATGGGAGGTGGTCTCCTCCGCCTCTTGACCCACCACTGGAAGAGGGAGAAGGCACAGGGAGTCTGACAGCATGTTAGTCACTGTACTCATGATAATGCAGCGTTCACTACTTGTGTGGCACTATTGTAAGCACACACAAACATTAGGGTGAGTTTTCTTGCAGATTGATAAATAAATGTGAGGTTAATATCCTCTTGTCCACCTTTCCCCTTCTCCCCCTTGGTTTTTCATTCATTCTCTCTCCTCTCTCCCCACCCTCCTCTCCCCTTCTCTCGCTTCTATCGCTCCTCAAGAATACGCCCGTGACTGGCGTTGGGGAGATGGGTGGGCGTGTCCTACCTCGCACTATCACCTCTCACCTTGTCCAGTAGATTCATCATGTCTCCCAAGTGCAGCCAACTCCTTGTCGGCCGCCATGCCAGCAATCCTCTCCGATTGAGACTCAATCACCTGCTGCAGAGACTTTACCCTCAGTCGCAACCTACATATGACGTCATCGACATTGTTACTAAAAATAGACATTCGGGATATATTTAGACTCACTTGTCGTTCTCGGCTCTGAGCATGGTGACTTCGCTGGCGATGTCGTTCATAACGACACTACCATCTTCGCTAACGATCTTACGACCTGCATTACATCAACATTACATCATCACAATCTGTTACTAAAATAAAGTATGTACTAAAAATATACCAGAGTGGAATTCTTGTAGTTCAGATTCTAATTTCAGAATTCTTGATCTGTTGAAATAAGCACATCAATAGATTTTCGCATACCACGTATGTACACTTAATGTTACATAATTATTATAGTTGGTAAAACAGGTCAAACCTGAATTGAGCCAGTTGCTGACTGGTTTTGTCCTGGTTGACTGACACCTGTACGGACAAGGACGAATAAAGCGTGTCAAAGCATTGTTCCCAAGTGCCCCCTTCCCAAATGTGAACCTGGTCTGGACGTGTGTCAACAACAAGGTAGCAAGGCACAAAATACACAAGTCAATTACTGTATATAGTCCTCTTAAGCGATCCCCTCCCTGTCATATTGAAAGCATGCAGTACACATGTATACGTACCTTGTTCTTGATGTTGCGAGCTCTGTTGGCGTATTTGAGGGTGTTCAGGGTCTCCATGAAATCTCTGTCAGTTGGAGAGATGCACGCCACCATCAGGGTTCTGCTGTTCCCTCCTAGTGAGTCCTGGGGGGGAGGGAGGCATAGTACATTAAAATATCAAAAAATTGGGCCGTATACATAAGTAAGTGTGCCATGTACAAAGCAAGCAATAGCGGTGGTGTGGTGTGAATACTTAGTTACTTAGAATACGCAGTTCGCCGAGGGTTTGCACTTCAGTGCTTTTCATTTACAAAGCAAAGCAAGCAATAGCGTGGTGTGGGTGAATAATTACTCAACCTGCAGTAATCTGGAGAGTTTTGAGTCTCTGTAGGGGACGTGAGAGCCTTTCTTGGCTTTATCTCCCAGAGCACTGATGACATTTCCCAGGGCCAGCTGGAGGAGAGAAGGAGAGAGAGGGGGGGAGGAGGAAGTGATGGAGAGTGTTGCACAGACAGAGAAACACAAATGTATGGTGGGAGGGAAGGAAGGCATGTCTGATTCCATCAGAAATTCTTCGTTTACTGGTGTCTTCCCTCCTCAATTACTTACAGCATACTGCATGCATACATAAGTAATTTACTGAGAAGTCTGCAGAACCTATGGAATTTCCTGACATACATAGTAATTTACTGAGAAGTCTGCAGAAACTATGGAATTTCCTGACATACATAGTAATTTACTGAGAAGTCTGCAGAAACTATGGAATTTCCTGACATACATAGTAATTTACTGAGAAGTCTGCAGAACCTATGGAATTTCCTGACAAGCATACATACACAGTGGATGGTACGGTACAGAGAAGTGGAAGGAGACAGAGAGGGGAGACAGTGACTCACCAGCCCACAGTTGATGGAGATGCCTTCCTTGGCCCTCTCTCCCGTGGCCCCCGTCCTCTTCAACCTCTCGCTGCCCGCAAGGTCAACAAAGTGGAACTTGGCACTCAGATTCTCCCAGTCAGAGATTTCGTACTGTACGACCCCTCCCTCCCCTCCTCCACTATCTCACTGCTGATCTGGGTATCAAAATGAGAACGGTAACATAGATTCTACGTATATTATATGCCCACTGAACTAGAAAACTACACAACCGCTGTCTCAAGCCACACACACACACACACACATATACACAGCTCATATCAGACTTCTTTCATCTCATGTTGTAACTTTATGATGTGCACCCACACAACATGTTTCATGAAATAGAGATTCTACAGTAACAAGTCGTATGAACCATCTTATTGGTTACACACTCTACGTATATTTAAAACCATGTCAACAATGATTACAGCAATATATGGACAGTAAGAGGCCTTGCTAGTATAATAAGTATTGGTGAGCGAGAGGCGATCCTGTACCTACCTAGTCGTGTGAATGTGGGATTCTTATTGCTATATTTACAGTGATTGCCATGTGGGCTCTGCACATTGTACAATACACCGTACGCTCTACGTAAAAAAAGTAAAAAAATGCACAAAAATTGAACGTCGTTTTGAATGCGCTCAAAAATCGAAGTGCTCACTTTTGCTCACCAAAAACGTGTGACATTAGTTCTAGTTGTACATACGTATGTACTGACTGGTGTCTTGATGGGTCTTTGCTGGGAGACCTGGAGGGTGAAGATGGCGTGGCTGCGAGACGACTGGGCGTTCATGTTGGTACTGCCCACTGTTCTGGACAGAGCTCCCTGCTTCAGACACGACAAGGTCTGGGGGGACGGGATTCAGATCACGGGACAGTAACATTACACAAGGAATGAGTTAACTTGTAAGAGGGTTAAAGGGAATTATAAGGGCTAAATGTATAAACTTCTACTAAAAAAAAAATAAAAAATGGAAATTCTTCCACATGAACAGCCATATTATAAATTTGGAACATAAAACATCCTAATTTCTCCACATTGAATATACAAATCGGCTGAAATTTCACACTCGCCTTCGCTCACTAAAAAATTCGTTGCATTTGATCATGCTTGACTCGTCCCTGCATATTAATGTCGCAGGTGCCCTATTGTATAGTTAATACCTCTTCCACACTCTCCACACGTTGTGAGATGACTCCCGCAATGTAGATGCCGCCATTGGGATCCTCGTGAATCCTCAGTTTCTTCAACTGCAGAGTGCAGAAAGAGGTGGCGGGAGTAAAATCACAGTGAAGCATTTAGCCTTCATATACTGCCACATTCCCTTTAATTCTGCACAATTACACACTCAAAGGAGCTTCAAAAAGAAGAGTTCTGCAAAAAGGGAGAGCTACACGTACGAAAAGGTATGTAATCAACTCACAGCCTCTCTGTTGCAGTCAAACAGGTCAATCAGGTCTTCATTGTATAGCTGGGGAAAAAACCAAAGATTTATACATCCATCACAATTTTGATCATGTATCTGAGCAGATTCTTTCAAAAATTTAAATGCTTACTTCTAAAAATTGTGCAGAGATCTCAAATTGTGGGGGAGGATCACCGCTAGCAATGGCGTCGTCTCTGAGCTGGTCAATGGTGGCAAACAGCTGCCGCACTGCCCTCGGGATGACCCCCAGTTGCTCCGGCAACACTGCCATACCGAACCCTGTACCCATGGTGTACGTCTTTCCACTTCCAGTCTTTTGAGGGAGGGAGGGAGGGAAGAGGGAGGGAGGGAGGGAGGAGAGGGAGGATGGAGGGAAGAGGGAGGAAGGGAGGAATAAAAACAAGAAAGAGCTCCCGGAATACATGAGTTCAGTGTGCAATTGTTTTACGTACCTGTCCATATGCTAGTACTGTTGCATTATAGCCTTCAAAGCAACTGTATGGAAAGGAAACAACAGACAAAGTAGAAAAAGTTACTGAGAGGGACAAAGTATGTGGAGTGAGGGAGAGGACAGAGCCATTACATAAAGAGAGAGAGAGAGAGAGAGAGAGAGAGAGAGAGAGAGAGAGAGATGCATACCCAGCAACAAGTCCCTCGATACACTGGGAGTATATCTCGTCCTGCTCACTGTCAGTGTCCAATACAAAGTCATAAGTGAAGGCCTTGTCTTTCCCCAACACTATCTGAGGCTGGCCTGAATGGTAGAGGAGGAGAGAGAGAGAGGAGAGAAAACAGTTAAATACGCCTTTTCAGAGCAAACTATATATTAATAAGAGAGTCTTCTCCGTTCCACTGAATTGCCATATTATCTATCAGAGAGTGTGGGTGTCGCCTACCAGGGATGCAGAAGGTGCATATTTGGCACATGTCAATTTGTTCCTTGGAATTCTGTGGTCTGACTCTGCACGGATGTAAAGAGAGGGAGAAAAAGAGAGAGAGAGGGAGAGAGAGGGAGAGAGGGGAGAGGGAGAAAAAGAGAGAGAGAGAGATGGCTAGTACACAATACCACATAGACCGACACCAGCCGAAGTTTCACAAAAAACATTTTTTTTGCAAATTGCTTTGTTGAACGTGACAAACCAAGTGAGGATTGTGGAAATAAACCAAACAAAACATGAAAACGACGCAACATGTAACGGAACTCGGACAGACCTGAGAGCAACTTGAACCGAAGTCTCGTTACCTTCCCCTCCATTAGTCGTCATGACTACGCCCTGTGTGGAAAGGTCAGCAGTCAATCATCAACAATCCACTACGTTTTTAAATTCATGCACATCTGCTACTAAAACGTCACAGTTTTAATTTCTGTGTACAAACATACACACGCCAATTACACGTTCACTCAAGCCTTAAAAACGGATTTTCATTTCCGTTTGAGGACCGTCATTATAATTGTAGCTAACGACCCTCGCCCCAGGTATTAGTAGTTTCCATGGCGAATCATGTGTATCTTGGATCGGTCGCCATGAGAAACATTCCACTCCTCCACTTTTACATCATCTACACAGGTTTAGTTACAAGACACACGTCTGGGCTCAGAGTGCTTACATCAAGAAGAACGCGGAGGGGAAATAATGCATAATCATTATGCAGTAAAGATACATGTTCAAAAGAGGGAATATTTCAAAAAAAATATGAGGTATGTCTGTTGATATTGTTTGTTGTTTTCTTAGTGCATGGGTAAAGTTTATTTTGACACTATGAGGGGGGATAAGGGTATTTGTTGCGCAACCGAGATGTATGAAGCTAGGTACTGGGTGATTTTATCAGCCTACATGTGCAAGAAGGGTTCATACATGTCGTTTTCCTAGGGATATCCAACAAATCTGTTGCAGTACCCAGACAGGACAGCATTCACCCTTACAGGGCTCATGCTGTCCTGTCTGGGCACTGCAACATATATACACATGACACACACTTTACATACAAGGGGATGAAGAGATAGATTTACACACTATAGCTATGGGAGGGTGCGTTTTGTGTTGGAGGGGACGTATATATGGAGGGGAAGGAGAGGAAGAAGGGTTTGAAGAGAGTCGCAGTGTGAGGGCAGAGGAGAGACAAGGAGAAGGAGGAGGAGAAGAGAAGGAGGATTGAGGAGGGGGAGAAGAAAGAGAGCTGGGAGTCGCAGTGTGAGGGCAGAGGAGAGACAAGGAGAAGAAGGAGAAGGAGAAGGAGGATTGAGGAGGGGGAGAAGAAAGAGAGCTGGGAGTCGCAGTGTGAGGGCAGAGGAGAGACAAGGAGAAGAAGGAGGAGGAGAAGGAGGATTGAGGAGGGGGAGAAGAAAGAGAGCTGGGAGTCGCAGTGTGAGGAGACAGGGAGAAGGGGAAGGAGAAGAGGAGAGGAGGACCACCCAGCAACCAACTATGCACATTGCAAACAGATCATCAACTATAAAGCTGACATCACCACACTACAAGAACATTCACTTCCCATACATCATTACACCAGGCTCTTGTGACATCCGACACAGGATGTCAGTTCACACACAGGGAGATGATGGGACGGCTACCCACCGACAATGAATATCATTAAACTCTACCCTCTCACTCAGGTGTAATGTGTAAGTAATGGATCGCTCACTCGAGTAAATGTATGCGACATGGACAGTTGTAACCTAAACACTAGTTGGTGGCCAAGTCTGAAGCTACAAGTGTTTGCTATATACAACAGCTGTGACTCGGACTAGCGGTAAAATGTGAATATTATTATATCACTGGTTGGATGCTATATATAGGGAACCTGTGGACTAAACAGAAGTCATAACCACTTCACTGGTATGTAATTAACTGATACACCACGCAGAGAAAAGTCCGGAAGTACACACTAATATTATGCATATACATGCTAACGTACATTAGTACTTTATACATTGGAACAAGAAGCTTTAGAAATTGGTGGTGAATCAGTGCAAAAATGCGACAAATTTACAAGATGGCAAAAATCAAGTGGTTTGTTTTAAACATCCTGCGATGCTATGCTACATAATTGAATCAATTAGCGGGGACTTTGTTGGGGGGAAATAAGGTCACGTTCAAGAGATGAACAACTAGCAATGTTAAACCTCAATGTATGGAGCTAATAGTGAATCCCATAAGTATTGCACAACATTACATAACCATGGTTCATACGTACAGGTTATCTTGAGAAACATACATAATTTTGGCGAAACGAGATCTGTGATCTCAAGAACTCAGCCGAATGCCTGTATACATAGCTATGGTACAGTGAAAACTTGGTGACATTGAAAGTGTCCATTATACACCGCGATGTCCCTTCACTCGTAACTATAATACATACGTATGTATGTGGCAGAACCAAGTGACCTCCAACGAGAGGTGTCCTTTATTATGAGGTGTCCCTATGTATTAGTATGGGGCAGAACCAATTGTCCTTTATAGAGAGGTGTCCTTTATTCAGAGGTGCCATACTAATGTATTAGTATGGGGCAGAACCAATTGTCCTTTATATAGAGGTGTCCTTTATTCAGAGGTGTCACTAATGTATTAGTATGGGGCAGAACCAATTGTCCTTTATATAGAGGTGTCCTTTATTCAGAGGTGTCACTAATGTATTAGTATAGTATGGGGCAGAACCAAGTGTCCAATAGAGAGGTGTCCTTTATTCAGAGGATCCTATTTCAGAGGTCTCACTGTATGTAGGGAGGCCCACCACAGCTGCCCCCCTTCATTCCACGACAGATGATTGTGTTGCACAGCCCTACAGCAGACCCCACTACCTCAGTGGAGCCACATTAGAGAAGAGTGGAACATTCCTGACCATCTGTCTCCTAGCAACTACACAACTTCCTGACCAGCTGCCCCACTCTGCATTCCAAGAATTCCAGGTAACAAAGGGGACACCCTATAATCTAATTACACTCAAACACTCTTATAAGTGGCCTAATTTATTTCAGCCACAAGCTATATATAACTCCCAAGAAGAACGTTTTTCAACTTATGAGGTTCTTGAGTGCCTCAGATGAAAGCTGAGGAGCATTATTAATGTTGACATACTATATACGTCGGATTGGAGTCCAGCACTTTACATCTCTAAAGGAACATCTTTGTAACAAGTAGTTTTCTGTTGTCCACATTTTGTACAACCAATCGGCACGGTGTTCTCTGAGGATATTATGTACGGCACCACGTGTGTGTACATTATTCAATTACACCATCAGCGCTGTTTCCACTTCACTGCCAAGTTCTGACTCTGAACCTTACAACATTGGTTTAGCCACCTTTAAACAACATACAGTGGCGAAATTCTGGCCATACATAATTATGTTGCAGTGCCCAGACAGTAAGGGCGAATGCTGTCCTGTCTGGGTACTGCAACAGATTTGTTGGATATCCCTAGGTAAACGACATGTATGAACCCTGCTTGCACATGTAGGATTGTATAGGCTGATAAAATCCCCTAGTACCTAGCTTCATATATGTCGGTTGCCTAGGGATATCCAACAAATAGTTTTGTACATGCCCCCTGCAAACACTCAGCAAGAGACAAAACACAGGGGGCAGTGGTGTACTTGAGGTAAGAGGGTGTCAGGCAGAGGTAGTAATTTGATCTGATGGTAGTGGGAGGGGCCACTCCAGCCAAGTGGGGTTACCTTTGTGTCAGGTGTAATGTGATCTCATTGAGTTGTATTATCTCACTAGCTGGAGAGATGGCTCATGATAATGCTGCACCCTGTGCTTGGTCTTTTAGACCCAGTGTTTAACAATCATGTTTGTATGTTCACTGCACTCTCCAGCTATAGTCAAGGTATTCAGAATGGTTGGTTGGCCTGTCCTTCCCCCCACTTGCTTGTTAAAAGTACAAACAATTTAGGCCACCCTATATTTTCACTGCACTCTCCAGCTATAGTCAAGGTATTCAGGATGGTTGTTGGTCTGTCCTCCCCCCACGTTCTTACTAAAAGTACGAAAAATAACGCCCAATTTTCCAAAGGCAATCTGTACAATACCCCAACAACTTTCAGTATCTATATAGTCACAGTCTCGGAACAGTTTGTTCTCTCCATTTGTCTCCAAATGTCTACATTCTCTGCAGCCTTTCAGCTTTCATGTACTGGACAGCATGCCACCTAATACAACACCATCCACAGTACATGTACATTTAGTACATGTACCTGGAGCCGCTAACACCCTATGCTTCCATCTAGTCCGTGTGTCTTGAATGGCACAATCAGTAGCTCTTACCAAAGTGACTCACTAAAGAGTGACACCTCTCACTCCTCACAGTCTTATCATACACATGTTTTACCACTGTTTGCAGACGTGTCTCCAAATGACTATAACTACACGTGCATACTGTTTATAGAGAGCCCAAATAAAGGTACACCATTTTAATTTGGCTCCATAGTGTACCACAATTATGGCTATACAACAACACATGTGTACTTTGTCTGTCAGCATGTATATTGCGTCACAGCGAAAAGCAAAATAAAGTTTTGGAGCGATTACTATAGCTGAGGGACAGAGAAAAGGCTGCAAAAGGCATTGTGTTTATACCCCTATCCCCCCTCATGATCCTGCATGCTCATGATGCAACAAACTGTAGTTGTCTTTATACAGCAGTGTCTAAACGCTATATATATACACATTCCCAGAGGATGTTTACAAAACTGTACCTGCCCCCACTTGGCAACACACAACATAATCGTAACATAAACATCCATTTTGAAATCGCAAACTGAAGTAGCTAATAAATTTACACATGTTCGACTTTATAACCAATTTACAATGGACGCCACGATCCATCATCATAAATATAGCAGCATTCTATTTTTGAAACTCAAACTCACACAGTGAACCTCCAAATAACTTTATCTAAAGGTTAAGTTAGTACTACACAAACTAAAAGTAGTGTACTCGTAAAGTGTTCCGAATATAGCGGTGTGCTTTATTTGGAGTGTTGATAACACTGTACTCCCAATAATATGAACATGAGTTGCAACAAATGCACTCATAAACTCAACTATAGCACCAGCTATTCTCACGTAATATTTGAATACACGTGCATTAAACTGGACAAGCAGTTGGCGAAATGTCTCAGTTCACAGCATCAGAAATGACAGGTCATTACCTAACCCGTCGTCAACACACAGACACACACCATTGTTCATTAGTAGACACACGTTTGCCACAAGCACACACACAAACATGTGTTGGAAGGAACACGTGTACTGCAGACATACACACATTATAACATGACGATAATGACTGTATGAATGAGCGTGCATCAGTAGCATAGTGCGACATTCGTAAGGAGCATACAATATATATAGATGATGCACTGCAAATGCCGGGCTGAATATCAAGTCAAATTTGCACATTGGAACATGATAATCTTGGACCTCTCTTTTGGTGCCTCTTAATCCACCGAACCGTGCATACTCCAAAGATTGTGATAAAAAAGAAGGCGATAATGCTTTCAAAAAGAAGAAAGTCTTCGTAAAACCTTTGCGATTGATTATGAAACGAGGCCGTCCAATGCTTCACATTAGCACACCTCTACACATTCTGACATAATGCCGGGTATGTAGCATATAGGGCACCTTAATTAAATCAACTGCAAATTCCAAGATCACTAAGCAGGTTGCTGCACTCTGCAGTAACGCTAAATTCCACACTTGAAAAGAGGACAAGACTTTGTTACCACAGGCATATGCAGTGAAGTTCTGGCACCTCGTGATCATAAAGCCCTTAGCAATCCACACAGGCCAGTGTGTTGGCATTTAACCAGCAAAAATCACAAGCACGATGCCTTTACAGATAAATATGGTGTGAGTTCTTCTCGGCTATTAATGCACAAAGATGCAGGGTTTACCCTACCCTACCCTTGGATCAATTTAGTCTGATTTTATGTTTTCTACCTGCATCATTAATATGCAGTGTTAACTTCCCAACTACTTCAACTCAGCCGTCAATTGCTCAAGTAAAAAAAGTAAAGTATGAACCGCTATGCACTTATGGTGATTTCGACATCTTCAGAGTATTACGTCATACACAGGCTCTGGGCGGCACTGTTATTCAAAGTATGCAGACCGTGGTTAACTACACCTACATACACCGCCCAGTGTGTGTGTCTGACAAGCTTGAGTGGGCTGTTATCGTGCGTTCTATCAGGGCTCAGCAAAACAATGCAATTGTAGTTAAAACAATGCCAAACATTCTACACTAGAAAATTGCAGCCCAATTTATGGGGAGTAAAAGTTCGTATAGCTCGACCTAAAATCTTTGTTCGTGGCCAAACTTTCTGGAACGCCTTACAACAGTGTGGCACATGGTATGTACATTGACAGCATTGACAACGTAAAAGTTAAAAATTGTATATTACATACTTCAGATGACTATTAGGTAGGCTTGCTCTGCTCGCCAAATAAAGGGAAAAAAAAGCATTTTGATTAGGAAATTGAAGAATGGACAAGGTGGATGGATGGATGGCAAGCGATTGATAGGAAAATCTATCAGCTGAAATAAAACACGGAGTAATGAGATGCCAGTGCAGCATCTTACCTCATTACCACCGACACTAAACACCCACTGAAAGTTGAATATTTCCACACGCCATGATACGAAGGAGTTAGATAAAATTGCGGTGACACGTGACAACGCAAAATCCTACGTACTTTTGAAGACACTTAAAAATTAAGGATGAGGAAGAGTTTTAGAAGATGTTCTCATAAAGAAGTTTGCTTACACATAGACACCCATGGGCAGACAGGGATGTGAATAATATCACCAACATTTAACCCTGTGTGTACTGTATAGTCACAGTGAATGGTCTGTATGGATCACTGGATGTCTACAAGCCCCGGTGGCCACTCTGATAACCTCACAGAGCTTGTCCGGAGACACAGTATCAATACCACCGGCCGAGTATGCACCGAATGTCCCGCTACTTGAGATCTTTTATCGTGCTCTGCACTGCTAATTTCGAGCCCCTGCAGAGCACGGACAAGGACCTGTAGGATCCGATGTACGTGTAGGTACGCATTCTCTAGCTAAGTTTTCGCGGACGTAGCTTGCATGCACGCACAGCTATGCTGCTAAGAACACGAAACAACTAGCGATAGGGCGATGACAATTCGGGTTCCAACTCACAATTTAGAGCCCCGGTTGGCGTCACCGTCTCGGTAAGTCTATCCTTCGTCTCTTTGACTTGCTAGAGCCGCACTCTCGCTGCTCTGCTTCGTCCGACGTCCGAGAATAGAGCGAAAGAACAAGTCAATTTGAATTCCTATGTGCACTTCATTTACCTGTGCGCATGCGTAATTACACAGGGCCTAATTTGACTACGCGCTTAGCGCTTATTTGACGCGTGCGCGTGTGCCGGCGAATAATAGAAGGGAAATTAGAAGCTTCTCTAGCCGTCTAGCCATGTCGTACTTCCAGCCTGATAGCTCCCAGGAGCCTCCCAGGGACCAGATAAACGTGGACTTTCTCCTGCCGACTGGTATCCTGATCCCTCTGGCGTGTCGAGCGTCCCAGAAGCTGGAGGAGATCAAGGAGACGTTATGGCGGAGGGCCAAGGAGTTCCCTCTCTTCGGGCTTCTCAGGTTAGTCTCTCTCTCTACCTACCTCTCTCTCTACCTCTCTCGAGCTTTGGGTGCGCGATGTATACGTACAAACGGCGTTGAAAACAGCGATTTTTATTTTGTGTGTAGCTACATAATTTATTATGAGTGTGTGTTATCGTTGTGAGTGATGTGTGTGTGTTGCGATGGTGTTGTGATGTTGTTGTTATAATATGTGTCTCCAGGGGACGTGAATGGTACACTCTGGTGTTTGTTAACCGCAAGGCAGAGCAGGAGTCTTGCCACAACGAGGAGATTCCTCTGGCCGATGTCAGGTTTGGATCTGTACACATGAACGTACCATAAGAGACATGCGTGTTGTGTATCATTTCGCTGTAGAATTGTGTTTTCCTTTCTCCCTTACACTTTCTCTTTGCTTTTCTGCTTGTTTATATGAGAGTGTGTTTACTTCTTGTTTGATTTTCAATACATAATATCTTTCCCAATTGTACACCTTGACAACACAAAGTGTATGCACTGTTTTTCTCATCTATTTGTCTCCTTTCCTTTACTCTCTCCCTCTTTTTCATTATTATTAACTACTTTCTTCCCTTTCCTCACATTCTTATTAACGCACCCTTCCCTCCAGCTACTATAAGCCGCTGTTCAAGGTGGTAGAAAAGAAGGAGGACGGAGAGGACAAACTTTTTGCCAATAGGATAGGGATCCTCATCGACAAGTCAATGAAGGAATTTGAGAGTGTCAGAGATCCCGAGGTGAACGACTTCCGTCTGGCCATGATTGACAGGTGTCAGTCTGCCGTGGAGGTCAGTATTAATTCTCGTACATGTATGGTACTAACGTTGTATACGCCTCTGTTGGACATCCTTTGTTGGATATCCTCTAGGCAACCGACATGTTTGAAGCTAGGTAGTGGGGAATTTTATCAGCCTATACAATCCTACATGTGCAAGCAGGGTTCATACATGTCATTTGCCTAGGGATATCCAACAAATCTGTTGCAGTACCCAGACAGGACTCATTGGGCTCCTGCTGTCCTGTCTGGGTACTGCAACATATACATTGTATGCAGTGGGCATGGTACTTGGTGTAAGCACTGAGAATTAGGAAACTTTACTAACCATGGCTACATCTAGCTTTCCAAGACTTTAAAGACCTGTGTATGTTCATCTGTATGTACGTGTCTCACCAGATCCGTAACCAGGCAATGTGGGAGCAGAAGGTGATGTATCTGTATCCGCCCGACGTGGAAAGTTCCGGAGACATCTCCTCTCTGGTTCAAGACAAACTGAACCCTCAGGTTCCATTTTATTCTTCACCTCTCTCCTCCTCCTTCTGATCATGTTGTCTATAGCCACAGTGAATTACAAAAGAAGCGTGTGAATTCGCTTCGTTTTCCCTCCCCTCATCTCTCTTACAACTGTGCTTGTCAATCCATATCATCACACTAACCACGCTGAGCACATACTGTACATGGCGGGCATTAATAAGAATGCAGTGTTTGCTGACAGTGTGATTCAACTAACATGTATATTACTGCGAATGTGTGTACTGTGTGCCCATGTTCAGCGTGTCATGTGTCTGCTCACTATGCCCCAGTATGGAGACCACTTGCATCCCACACACTCATGGAGATGCCAATACCCTAGCTAGTACAACTTTAGATCTCTCTTTCATCAACAAAACAACCCGAATATCAGTCTTTTTACCATCTCCACTTTCTTTTGTCCCCTGACTTCTCTCTACCCCTCTTCCTCCCTCCACACCCCCCTCTCTGATCGTTTTCCTTCCCTCCCTCCTTCCCCCTCTCTCCCTCTTCCTCTCTACCATACCTAATTCTCTCCCTCCCCCCTCTCTCTCTCTCTCAGAACCAATTCTTTGTCCACGTGTTTGCCATGACAGCTGAGAAGAGAGAGCAGAAAGGTCAGAGGTTTCTGCTGCCGGCGCAGCCCAAAGACACACCCTCTGACCTCCTCGGCATTGCTCTCAAGAGATTCAACAGAGCTCAGGGCATCGAGGAACATAATCCCGATGATTACATTCTCAAGGTCATACAAGTACTCATTGTCGTGTTAGTACATAGTGGAACCTGTAATACTGTGAAACTCTAATTAAAGAGCACTCTCTGTAACATGCTCTGTTTAGTGTGTTAAGAATGGACAATGATCCCAAAGTGCCTAGGGCATCGAGGAACATTATCCTGATGATTAAAACTCGGTATATGTAAACTGGTGCTGTTTTGTTCAGGTGTGTGGATATGAGGAGTATCTCCTAGGAAACTACCCTCTGGTCAAGTACAGGGTGAGAGTGACGTAATACTTGTACGGATTATGTAACCATTATGTTGTGTGTGAGCATTGTTAATGTTACAGCATCCAGGTGCAGGGCCTTTTAGCAGCAATGAAACGTTTTATCGGGCGTAAATTTCAATAATCGTCTTTTTTGTAGGTAAAAAAGTGGGAGTAATAATTTATTACCGTGCACATCACAAAAAATACATGGTCTGAATGATTATTTTATACCCAACGCTAATTTCTCCATCTCCGTGTTGCAGTGTATCAACCGTATGATAGGGAAGGGAGCACAGCCAACTCTGAGTCTCGTTCCAAAGACGTCCATCAAAATTGACTTTCCGGTCGAGAAATACATACCCCCCAACCTGGCTCGCCGCGAGAAACCAAAGACCAAAGGTTTGTGTAATTATCGTTAGACGTCGACAGATTCAAATTGACCAATGAGATTGCGTTAAAACGTGGATTCTATATATATGCCCGTGGCTTGCTAAGGGTTAAGAACCAAACGACCCAAACTCGCGTAGTATCAGTGTCCTACATACACACGTCTCATTTCCTACAGAAGGAGATGTGGTCAGTCTGTGGAGTGTGGACGAGAAGCTGGAGATCAAGGTGGACAGTGCCGGGAACCTCAACGTCGGAAAAGACGCCTCTGTGAGTGGCTCTTGAACACATATACAGTACATTCTAGATGACTGGCAATGTTCTAGAACATTCTTGCAACCCAATATACACGTTCTACATGTTCATAGTTTTGCTTTTCTTCTTGTTTGTTGTAGATCATGGTAGTAGCAGGGGTTTACCATGGCGATGAGTCACTCTGTCAGAACGGACAGACCAGACCATTACACCTTGATGGAGGTCTCTCTCTCTCATTCATTGTCTTTCTCTCACCCTCTCTCCGTTATTTTCTCCGTTTCTTGTTAAAATTACGTGTCTTTTATTGACGAATTCATAGTAAAATTCAACGTTCAATCGTCCTTTCTCTTGTTCTTCCTCTCCCTTCTGTTCTTCACTTCATCCATTCTTTCTCTCTTCCCCCATGTTCTTCATCTCTTCTCTATATTACTTTCTCTCTCTCTCTCCCCTCTCTCTCCCCCCTCTCTCTCCCCTCTCTCTCTCTCCTCTAACGCAGGAGAACCGATGGGTATATGGAGGTGGAATGAGAACATAGTGTTCGACATACTGGTGACAGACGTCCCGCGAGGAGCCAGACTCTGTCTCGCAATATACGCCGTCTACGGCAGCAAGAAGAAGAAGGCCAAGACAGGGAAAAACGAGGCCAAAGGAGTAAGCACAGCTATTCCAGGACACCTTTTATACTCCAGTCATTTTAAGACATTAGATTTTGCACGTGGGGTGCCCTGATTTTAAACTCCTAGTCAAATGCCCATGGCTGTATGCCTAATGCCACTAAAAATTTTAGATGTGCTGGCATTAATTTTTGCGGCACCAATCATGATTACTATAAGCGACAAGATCTCCGATATTTCCTCTCGTATTTCCAATTGTGTGTATATTTACGTATCCTTACCTCCCACTACTATATACTACCTCTTTCTCTGTCTCTGTGGTAATGGTGTGAGCAGGAGAAGGTACCACTGGCATGGGTGAACCAGCCTCTCTTTGACTACCGCAACTACCTCAAGACTGGTTCTGTCACCCTACCTTGCTGGCCCATGAGCCCTGAGGACAGTATGGAGGGTCTTCTTAACCCCATTGGTACATACCTCTCTCTTTTCGTCTCAATCTCTAGCTATGGGGGTCTTCTTAATCTCTATAATGAACCTATTCCTACGTAACAACTGACTTTACAATTATACACATACCACCTCTCAATTAATAAAACCTCTGAATAATGGTAAAATATTACTGCTCCCCTCCCCTCCTCCCCTCCTCCACCCCTGCCCCCCACAGACACAGTAATACTGAACCCCAACACGCAGGACTCGCCGTCCATAAAGATAATGTTCAGAGACTATGTGAAGCCACCGCAGAAGATAAGATTCCCAGAGCTGGCAGCCGTCCTTGAGGTCGCCTCTCAGGAAATGGCCAAGGTATGTCCCCCTTACTTTTAATCCTATGAAATTTGAAAAGAGGTAACATCCCTCTATTGTCTACCGCTTTTCCTAATGTCATTTAGCTTCCTTTTTTTATTGATAGTGTGTGAAGTTGCAACTTTTGACATCATACTAGTTACAAAGTATGGAACTGCATCACTTTTCATCCTTCCCTCCTTCCCTCCCTCCCTCCCTCCCTCTCTTCATCCTCCCACAGTACAACCACAGCCACGACAGAGCTATACCAGCCGTGATGAAGAAACAACTGATGGACGTCGTCCAGAGGGGACCTCTCGCAGCCATCGATGAACTCGAGAAAGACCTCATCTGGAGATTCAGGTTACACCTGTTTCCCAAACCGGTTTTACTAGTTCCATTTTAGCTACTGACACATTCAAGTACACGTAATAGTAAAGGGACAGCGAGATGGGGTGAGATCGAAATAAGGACAGCGAGATACATAAGGCAAGATAGAAATAGGAATATATATTAGGATAGCAAGATAAGGCGGGACAGAGATTGGGACAGCAAAATAACACGAGATAGGAATAGGAACAGCGAGATGGGGCGAGATACATGCACCACATCATATAGGTAACTCATACCCCCTGTCATTTGCGTTGATTAACCACTGCACAGGATGCATCTACTGGAGCAGCACCCATCCTCCCTACCTCGTCTCCTGGCCTCAGTCAGATGGCACCAGTACAAGGACGTGGCACTGGTACGATGTCTTACCCTTTTTAAAGTGCACCTCACTCCTTCTTACATGTCATGTCCTCTTAATAGTGGGGCGTGTCCTAAGCAGTTCTTTTTGCTAACAAAGTGACCCTATAGCTACCTAGTGGTTCAAATCTTCATGTTTTTTTATAGTGCGGTGTTCTAATCGTTTTGGCTGAAAGTGAGCCTACACCTATATTATAGTGGTTCTAATAGTCTTATTCTTCATTTGTCATGTACCCTGATGTGATTTTTAATGCTTCAAATTCACACAATTGTGTGTTCGCTTGCCAATTAAGTGCAGTAGATTTGATCATTTGGCTACCACGACCTCCTCCCCCCCCACCAGTTGCAGTCAATGTTGTTGGCATGGAGACCGCTCCAGCCGGAGGATGCCCTGGAGCTCCTGGACTATGCCTATCAGGACCCCAATGTCAGGGCCTACGCCGTCAGATGTCTCAGGGGACTTACGTAAGACTGTATAATGTACCACAGTTGTCTCAGTGGACTTGTACCACAGAAGCCCTAGAAATCAAAGGCACCGCACGCAGTGTATGCGCACTAAGACAACTCATTAGTTGCATGCCATGGTGTATGGTGTGCTGACTCAGCCATACACTCACATGTGGTGTATGAGCTCTCATGCATGCATACTAATAAGTTGTCTTAGTGCGCATTCCTGTGGTACAAATTGGTTACACTACACCACTCCACGGTTTAGTACACTAAACCCTCTAGTGGTCATAGTGTAACCTATATTTACCTAAGATTGTATAATCTATATACCACTGTCAGATGTTACGTAAGATTGCATAATGTACCACTGTCAGATGTTACGTAAGATTGCATAATGTACCACTGTCAGTGGACTTACGTAAGATTGCATAATGTACCACTGTCAGATGTGTACCACTGTTAGACCGTTGATCTTTCAGTATGTCCAATACAAAGGTACACACGTGAAATAGGAACGTACAGGCTGCATAATTTCATGGGTGGTTTATCATATTATGTTCTATTCAGAGATGCTGAGCTGTCACAGTACCTACTGCAACTGTGTCAGGTATACTCCACAATGTACTGTAACTCTAGCATTACTATTGTACACGCTACTTCCTTGAATCACGAGTGTGTGAAACTACCTACCTACCTACGTAGTGTATATGCTCGAAACTGCCTTTAGTGCCTTCCTATATATTAGTCCAGTGGGACTCTTTTGATAGTGCGATTTGGTACCAAATCAGAATTTCGTGGGAAAATTTGTTCCACCGTAAACGTGGTCCCTGGTAAACTTGCAGACCTTTCTCCCTCTGACCTGCTCTGCCTCTATTTCTCCTCTCACTTCCCTCCCTCCGTCTTCCTCCCTCTTCCTCCCTCCCTCTTCCTCCCTCCCTCTCCCTCCCTCCCTCTTCCTCCCTCCCTCTTCCTCCCTCTCTCTTCCTCCCTCCCTCTTCCTCCCTCCCTCTTCCTCCCTCTCTCTCAGACCCTGAAGTATGAGAGTCACTTCGACTGTCCGCTGGCACAGTTCCTCCTCGACAGAGCCTGGAAGAACAGACGAATTGGTCACAACCTCTTCTGGCACCTCAGGTTCGCTAGCACTCGCCTAGAATGCAGAGTGTCGTGGGTTCGAATCCCACCCAGGGTAGCTCTTCTTTTCCAAGAACTGTAGTTGACATGTTTGTTGTGCCTTGCCTTTCTTCCTCTTAACATGCCAACTCTCTTTGCTTGAGACAAAAGTCTGATCACACAACTTAACCACATAAATCAATTTCTGCTTTTAAGGAGATACCCATGGCATCCAAAGGGTTATTAAAAACTAGATACTTGGTGCACAAGTGTATTGCATCCTGCTATCTTTCTGTTGCCCCTCTTCTCTTTCCTCTTAACGTAATAGACGCAAATATAGAGTGCAACTCTCTTTCCGTGAGACGAAAGTCTCATACAGAATTGAAAACTTGAGAGTTGGTTGTCTGTTCCCTCCTGGTCGCAGGTCAGAGATGCACACACCACAGGTGTGTCTGAGATTTGGTCTCATTCTGGAGGCATATCTGAGGGGCACCCCCAATCACATGACTGAGATCACCAGACAGGTCAGTCCTGCATTAATACTGGTCAGTCCCACTATCAATCGGGTCAGTCCTGCATTAATACTGGTCAGTCCCTGTATCAATCGGGTCAGTCCCACGTATCAAATGGGTCGGTCCCACGTATCAAATTGGTCAGTCCGGCCGATTCAGTGATATAGTGTTTGTCTGCAGTTGGACTCTATGAACAAGATGAGATGTATCACTGAACTACTGCAGAGTAGAGCCTTCAAAGACAAGGTATATACAGTACTGTGTATGACTCCATCTTTTAGCATCTTTCTCATTCCCTGTATCATGCTCTCCTTCTCTCTCTCTCTCTCTCGTCCATCAGGAGAAAGGGAAAGATGCAATGAGAGACCTCCTCTCTCAGAAAGGCTATCAGCAAGTCATGTGCAACGGAATCACAATACTCAACCCTAAACTCAGAGTTGGAGGCCTAAAGTGAGTTTATTACATACAGTTACGTAATATCTGGGAACATATGTGGCAACTGCGGTTTGATGTTAATTTTTTCTTTTCTGACACTAAATTATGAATCTGACACTAAATTTGAACCTGCCACTCAATATTTTAAGTCTAGAACTTTTGGGGGGCCGAGTTTGATGTTTGCCGAGTGTTTTCCATCCATTTTTTTCTTCCTCTCTTTTTGTCGTTGTTGTAGAGTTGATGAGTGTCGTTTCTATGACTCCAAAATGAGGCCACTCCTACTGGTCTACGAGAACCCTGACCCCTCGGCTCTCCTGCAAGATGTGCACATCATCTTCAAGAATGGAGACGGTAAGGGAGAGAGAGGAGAGAGAGGAGAGAGGGGAACGTTCCTTGGCCAATCCTAAGAATGTCCAGAGCACATAAAATAACTATAGGGAAGTCAGTTTTTTTCCTAGGGTGACAAGAGTTCGCTATTTCCTCCCCTGGTCTATGGCTCAAATCAAAATCAATAATTAGTGAGAGCAGTGTTGTCTGAGTTACCCCTAAAGAACTGCTTTGCCCCCTGAAGAATATTTAACAGCTGCTAACGATTTTCCAATGAATTTCTTCTGACTTGTAGATATAAGTGACACTGGCTGTGTATTTACATGTATTATATTGTGTCTGTGTTCAGATCTGCGTCAGGACATGCTGACCCTTCAGATCATTGGAATCATGGACAACATCTGGCAGCAGCAGGGACTGGACCTCAGGTGAGGAGCAAACACTCACAAACGTGCTGAGCAGTGCATCTGTAAGTTTGTCTTTGAATTGCCACTGGCAGCTATAAAACAGTGGGATGTAAGGAAAGCAGCACAATTAAGACTGAGTCTCTCTCTCTGTCTCTCTCCCCCCCCCTCCCCCCAGGTTGTTGCCGTATGGAGCACTGTCCACAGGGAACAAAGTGGGGTTCATTGAGGTCGTGAGAAAATCGGAAACCATCGCCAACATACAGAAGATGGAGAAAGCAAACTCCACTAAAAGGATCGGGCTATGGGACAGCAGCCTCCTCTACTACTGGCTCAAGAAGAAGAATGCCGTGGAGCAACAGTGAGTTATTGGGACACTGTCCAGTATGAGGATGGGATGTCCCAATTAATACTTGGGACCTTCTGAAATTTAATGGGAGACTTTAAGACTTTTTTGTTATATCAGAAAAGGTTTTCATGAGCCAAACATTGTGACTGGAGGTCCAGCGCACTAAGCATTGAGCTATTCTCTCTCCTCTCTCTGTCTCTCTCTCTCTCTCTCTCTCTCTGTGTCAGGTTCCAAAAAGCTGCAGAGACCTTCTTCCTCTCATGTGCCGGCTACTGCGTTGCCACGTACGTCCTGGGCATTGGAGATCGTCACTCTGACAACATCATGATCACCGAGGGAGGCCAGCTATTTCACATCGACTTCGGACACTTCCTCGGCAACTTCAAGGTATTTTTCAGGTATTTTTCAGGGGGGTAAAGGCGGAAATTTTGCCCCCTTAAAATGGATTTGCCCCTGATCTTGGGCTGAATTAAGAGAAACTAAGATTTCTATAAACTTTACAGTATATAAACAGGCTGTATATATGATTATCTTATTTCAGGTAAAGTTTGGAGTAAAGAGAGAGAGGGTCCCGTTCGTCTTGGCCCACGACTTTGAAATCATCATCGAGAAACACTTTGGCTTTGACAAGTGAGCTCCACACTGACAATTTATCTTTTTTGTGACTCACTGCTCGTGCCGTAACGTTCTACTAAATACACCCGCGAGAAACTAAACTGCTCACGTTTGCTCGCCACAACATGTTTATTTAACTAACACCTCTGGTTTACTGCTATTGTGACACGTCTTGGATCTTTGATTTTCTCTTTTCTATATACCATCTGCTGTTACTTTACTGTGTGACAGTATTGCCATATGCTTGGTGTTGTTTGCAGTCTTGTTGTTGTTGTTTATTGTTGTTGTTGTTGTGTACAGGTTTGTACGACTGTGTGAAGATGCCTATCTGATCCTGCGTCGCCATGCCAGCCTGTTCATTAACATGCTAGCCATGATGCTGCAGACTGGTATACCAGAACTACGCTCCATCGACGACCTCAACTACGTCAGGTCTGTACTGTAGCCACAGCGAAATCTGAGAGGACACTCCAAATAAAGAGCACCTTAAAGAGACATTTGGTTCTGCTCCGTACTTGTACAGTGAAACCCCAAACTTCTCAATAAGGGTCACCTTTGGGAGATCGAAACTGTTGTTTATTGAGAGGTATCCCTTATTCAGAGGTGAATTTACATTTTTCAAGCAGACTGAAAACCTCTTACTGCATCCTTTTGGCCCCATATGTTATCCTGGCTTACTCAACTCTCATCCTCTTGTCTCATCTTCTTGTTGTCCACTTTCTTTCTCCCTCCCCCCTCCTACCAGAGATGCCCTGGTGCTGGAGGTGACAGAGAAGGAGGCCAGGGAACACTTCATCCACAAACTGCAGGAGGCACGTCGCAACGCCTGGTTCACCAGTCTAAACTGGTACGTCCACGGACTGGCCAAAGACAACAGAGCTTGATCAACTCGACTTCATATCATCTCCCAAAACTTGATTATCATGTCATTTCTCTCCATGTGTGTTCCTTTTCACAATGCAGCCAATTATTATGCATGCGTCTCGGTAACGTAAGCACGTACTTACGTAGCGTAAAACGCACGTGAACTCTTTGACGAGTACTGAAGGATGGAGGTGGCGGAGGGAGAAGTTCCGACTGCCGCCAAGCTCCGCAAGCTGCGGGTAGTTGACCTGAGGAAACGTCTGCAGAGTGTTGAGCTTCCGCAGTCAGGTACGTTGGCAAAATGTCTGGTGTCTCACCTCGACACGTGTTCACTGTCGCTAGTCTCGGCCTTCTTGTCTTTTGCCATTCCCTCTGAACTCCGAGACAGAAATGTGGGGAGAGAGATAGTGTAGATTTTGTTGCAGATACGAAGATACAAAGTGCTATGTCGTATAAGCTAAGCGAAAAGCGACACAGTCCGTTGTCTGCCCCACTTACCACAAACCGTGTGCCGTGTTGTGGCTTCTAGAGATAGCGTGCACTTTCGGACAAGTTCCACGCCGTCTTGTGTGTGATACGCAGTGTACTACTGTTATGTACAGGCAACAAGGAAGAACTGATCGGCAGACTGCGACAGTACTATGTCGACCAGGTAGGTGTGCTCTATTTAGAACCTCGCTCCTTCACACGTGTTTTTCTGTGCTGTTTTTGCAGCAAGCAAAGATAGAGAGCGAAGCTAAGGAGGCAGAGGAAGAGGATATGGCGGTAGAGGAAGGTGGGACGGAGGAGAAGGGAGGACAAGATGAAAGTGGGAGCATAAAAACGAGAAGGAGAGGGAGGGGAGAAAGAAGAAGAGAGTGAGGGAGAAGAGCCAGAGGGAGAGAAAGGAGAGGAGATGACGGTAGAGAGAGGGGAGGAGGAGAGACAGGGGGCAGTGGAGGAGGGAGAGGGAAGAGGAGTAAAGGAAGAAAAAGAAGATGAAGCAGTGATCAAAGAAGTAGAAGACATGCAGACTGAACCAGTGATTGAAACAGGTATAATACAGTTATACGTAATGTAAATGTACAAATTCCCGCTACTTGGGCTAAAACGTTACCTACAATTTCGTATTACGCACGTTGTATGCATGCGTAATCTTGCTCCGAATTAGGAGATAATGAATGAGTTATGTGGGTGAGATGAGGGAATTCTTAGTTGGTAACTTTGTAAGAACCTCCCAATCTATCTTCCTTGTGTACAGCTCCTTCTGAGCAGGCAACGCAGCCAGCAGAACCTCAACAACCTAATACTACAGTTGGTGACGGCAGTGATGGTGTGGCTGCTGGTGAGAAGTCAGTCACTGGTGCTCCTCCTGGTACCAGTGAGGCAATGGAGAGAGAAGAGGAGGGGGCAGGAGGGAAGAAAGATGGAAAGAAGATGGGGGACAAGGCAGAAATTGAGCCCACCACAACTGAAAGCAATGTTGATAAGTATGTATATATGTACTCATTGCTGGTTGTTAAGTGAAACCTGAAAAAGGACCTTCTGAATAGAGGACACCACTCTAGTCTGTCCCGTAATAATACACACATTCTTGTATAATATTATTACACCCAAGGTTTTTGTACTCCGTTTTGATTGGCACTTTCTGATGCTCTTGCCCTGCAGCCACCTCCGGTAACACGACGTCTGATTACTATTCAGACAGTGCTCGAGAGGACCATCCACAGATTGCGCAGCACCATCCGCCAACTGCGCAGGACCATCTGCCAACGGTGCAGGACCATCTGCCAACAGTGCAACCTACAACTGTCCCAGTTTCACCCACTCCTCGTGCAGCCAAAGAGAAAACCAAAACTCCAGTTGCCGTGGGGAAGAAACCACCTGTGGCAGAGCCGGAGAAGAAAACTGAAGAGGTTGGCAGCAATGTTAGTACTTTCTTCCATTAGGATTGTAGCAGAATAGTTTTGGACGTGGTGTAGGTGCTGTTAAGAATGTGGCAGTGTGTAAGGGCTAAAATTTAGAAGTGTTGCTAAAGATAGAACAAAACAATAGGGGCACAGTGTTGTTTATCTTTCTCTGTAGCCGAAGGGGAAGAAGAAGAAAAAGAGGAGGAGACGTCGTCGTCACAACCAGGGGGCGGAGTCAGGGGGTGTGGTCAAGGAGGCCGAGAACGAACCACCTGAAGTGGAGATCGAGTGAGAGAGGGGGGAAATTTGGGGGGAAATTTGCGAGAAAGGTTTTGAATTAATTTACCTTTGGGGTTTGGAGGCAAATTTTGTACCACTGTAACAAATTTTTACGCCCATAAAATTTACAGCATGTTAGCTCGCTAAAAACAAAAATTTTTGTCCACAGGTATGTGCAGGAGGACGTTTTACAACCTGGAGACGCACACTACAAACAGTTTCACAAGATATTTGAGGCCTTCAAGCTCTCCGACGACTCTGAAGACACGCCCAAAGCCACACCCACCAGCCATATCCCTGACGACGACTCGATGTCGATTGCCGCCAAATCCTCTGCTGCTCAGAAGAAGCAGAGAGAAGAGGAATCAGAAGATGTGAGTTTTGTACAATATAACTTAGGACGGAAAAATTTTCATGGACATTTTGGGTTGCACAAAAATTTTCTCAAATGTTCTCAGAACGGATAAAACCATGAAATTGCAATTACTGAGAGAGCTCAAAAACTTCTCATGTTAACACTCTTTCTCTCTCCCTCTCCCTCTCCCTCTCTTATTCCCAGGACGAAGAGGAGCCCGAGGAACCGGCGAAGTTGTCGAAGAAGAAGTTGAGAAAGCTGAACAGACTGAGTGTGGCTCAGTTGAAGCAGCTGGTGGACAGACCTGACGTGGTGGAGATGCACGACGTCACTGCTCAGGACCCAAAACTACTCATACACCTCAAGGTTTGCTGTGGATGTCCGGGTCTCTATGTTAGCTGGGGAAGAGTTTTGTGATTTCAGAGAGAGAGAGAACTGTATTGGAGGGGAGAAGATTAGTGGTGTTTTTGAGAATAGTTTGCCATACTTTTACCTGCCATATTGTGAGGGGCCAACTAGCGAAAGCTTTCCTGCAGTTTACACCTTTAACAAGACAGCTTTTCTCTGGATATACTCACTGTATTATCTGCTAATATTGGGGGTTGTGACTGTAGTATATTGAGTTGTTCTACTGTTCTCCCACTCTATGCAGTCCACCAGGAACACTGTCCCCGTGCCTCGTCACTGGTGCTTCAAGAGGAAATACCTCCAGGGAAAGAGGGGGATTGAAAAACCTCCGTTCAACCTCCCTGACTTCATCAAGGTCTGAGGCTGCGAGTGTTGAGTCCTAGTGCCTGCTATATCTATAGGAATGATGAACAAAACTCCCTATCATAGCCCCATACATCTATGATGCTAGGTAGGTGTGCCATTCCCATCCCTATATACTAAGTACTATACTAGTGATAATATGGTGTACTTCCCTGTGGAAGTGTAAATATTTTAATGGTGCGATTCTGACATCCATCACGACTGTGTATCTCTCTCTCTCTCTCTCTCTCTCTCTCTCTCTCTCTCTCTGCTCTCTCTCTCTCTCTCTCTCTCTCTCTCTCTCTTGCTCTCTCTCTCTCTCTCTCTCTCTCTCTTGCTCTCTCTCCTCTCTTCTCTCCCTTCTCCTCTCTTTCTCTTTCTCTCTCCTCTCTCTCTCTCTCTCTTTGCTCTTCCTCCTCTCTCTCTCTCTCTCTCCTCTCTTGCTCTCTCTCTCTCTCTCTCTCTCTCTCTCTCTCTCTCCTCTCTCTCCCCCCTCTCTCTCTCTCTCTCTCTCTCTCTCTCTGCCGTATAGGCCACGGGGATCATGGAGATGAGACAAGCTCTGGAGGAGAAGGAAGACGCCAAGAGCCTGAAACAGAAGACGAGAGAGCGGGTGCGGCCAAAGATGGGGAAACTCACCATCGACTACCAGAAACTCCACGATGCTTTCTTCAGGTAGAGATGTATGTACCTGTAGCAGGAGACGGAAAGCAATTGTACATTGTAGCTGTTGTTGGCTTGTAAGTTCTTCTGTACTGTATTTACAGACATAAATGTTTGAGGAAGATAAAGTCTTGCCTGCTCTGACAAATTTTACGTTTAAGTAAAAATTTCTACAGAAGCAGGACTGGCACTATGTGAGAGTTGTGTTCTCTGCTGGTTGCTAAAGGTTTTTTTCGTATCCTTGGGTTTCATCAAAACGCAACAACCCTTTTTCAATTGCACTAAAAATCAGCCATGGTTTTAGTAGGAAGCTGACACATGCATGTCTCAACAACTTGGTCACTGTGTGCGTGTTGTGCAGGTGGCAGACAAAGGCCAAGATGACAATCCACGGAGACCTGTACTACGAGGGAAGGAGTTTGAGACTCGTCTGAGGGAGAAGAAACCGGGAGACCTCTCTGACGAGCTGAGGCGAGCTCTCGAATGCCACCGGGATGGTGAGGGGAGGGACGGGAGGAAGAGAGACGGAGGAGGGAGGAGGGAGGGAGAGAGAAAGCAATTTAGCTCTACTCGTGTATATACAGTATCATGGTGTCGGTATGGTAGACGAGGTTATGACATGCGAGTAATATTCTTTTGGCGAAATCATTAAGATCATTTGGCTTGTGTGGATAGTTCAATGGATGTCGGTTTTCTAACTCATTACCAGTAGCAACTATAGTTCTTGCTTTTTTTGCTGTGTTTGTTGTAGAAGCTCCTCCTTTTTCTTTGTTGCGCGAGCCATTATTTACGAATACGTGTACAGCTATTGAATACAGGAGTTTAAAACTATGTGGATATTTGGTGACCAGCTTCATTTGTGTCTGATTGCAGGGAAAGCAGAAGTTTAACCCACCGTGGCTGGTTGCACTTGCAGCGATACGGTCCGCCCCTCCTCGTACCCAAGTCTCAAGACTCCTGCGCACGGACTCCACGCACCCGTATTTCCGACGTATCAGCTGGTAGCCGACATGATCCTCACATGACAGCCATGTGACCCGTCTACTGCTCACATTGCACTTCGTGATCTGTACATACTTGTGTGTCAAGTGAAAGTCATGTTGACCTCTGTGGGTTGTGCACTATTTACTAGTCATTGGTGACCCATACATATTCTTACATGATAGTCATTGTGACTTTCTCTCTAGTGTGTTGGTCCTATTTGGTATTGTTGGTTGGGGGTTTGGGGGAAGGCCCCAGGTTTGATGAAGGTTGGGATCGGCTCTCTCTGGTTTATGGCGACGTATCGTTTTGGTCCTTGACATTACCCGGATCGTGTGTGTACCTCTCTTGTTGAATTCCTTGTTTCTTGCCTTTCTGTCTCTCTTTCACGGACTTCGTGTTTGTCTTTCCTCTTTCCTGTTCCCTCGTCTCGTCACATTCTTCTCTCTGGCGTCGCTTATCTCTTTTGTCCATTTTGTCTCCCTTCTCACTTGTGTGTTACATCGCAATTTATACTTCCAATATCTTTTCGGTCTCTTTACTTATGCTGCGATAATCTTTCTACACAAGAGCCTCGGGCTTCTATATAGATTGTATGAACTCACTGCGGTATAAAACTTGTCCATCTGTCCGTCCTCCCCTTCTCCAGAGTTGAAGACGAATGATGATGATATCTTTAGAGTGCAGTTTTGGGGTGTGAGCTGTGTGGAATCAGAGGAGGAAATGGAAGAGAGGAAGTGAGTAAGTGACATCGCCACGTGTCTGTGACCATTATGATGTATTGGCAGGAGTCGGGGGAGGATGAGGGGGAGTTGAAACCAGAGGGTCTACAGGCTGGCCTCATCACTCGCACTGGAGGGAGGGTAGCCAGTCAAAACCTGTTTGAGCGATTTCCAGTTAATTTACGGGTTGACCGTCTCTAATTAATTCCGAGACTGGTGACTCCGAGTGGTCTCACTTCCATTCACTTGAATTGGGAGACACCAGAGATTGATTCAACTCAGGATATCATTATAGCGTACTAGTTGACATGTTGATAATGGTGGCTACGTTGCATCTCTCACCAGAAAGAAAAAGATCGAAGAAGCTTATGGTAGGCAGGGGGTAGCCTTTATTACCTGCAAAAGTCTGGGTTATGTCTCATTACCATCACACTGTGCATGCTGCGACAATAGAAATACTAGAGAATCTTGTAATGCTTCTGCTTAGCAAGTTAAAATATTGTCACTGTAGTTTAAGAAATCCTCCATTTGCCACCCAATTTAGACACACAGTTAAGAGCGCCTATGTTATATACTTAAAAGAATTTTAGATATGGCACAGCTCAGTTATCAAAAGTTTGGACTATATTGATCTGTCTTAGAACATATTTCACAATCGCGTATTTCATTGACGCACAGTATTAAAGTGTGTGTGTTTGTAACATTGTTTAAAACATATACTGATAGTTGTATTCTACTGAGTCCCAGGGTTGCTGTTGTAAAAGAGATTGATGAGAGTATTTATTGGTACCCACACTCAACGGACTGCTATAGCTGTTGTGAGGCGGATCTATTGCATTGTGTCTGCCTTGGTTCTGTTTCCAGAGGCAACTGCCCAGCCCTGTTCACAGTCCTTCCAGAGAAGACCCAGTCGGTGGGCGGGCGTTCATGGGATCTTTCTCATGTGTACGACCTCTCTTGCTGTAAGATGTACATATTCCTGCTCTATTATCACTGGTTTCTGTTGAATTGATCTCTCTCCTCTCTTCTCTCTCTTCTTGTCTCTATTCCTTTGCCGGGTTTTTTTTTTTTTTTTTTTTTTTTTTTTTTTTTTCCGCCTTTTTTTTGGGGGGGGGGTCGTTTGTTTTTTTACAGGGGGGCTTTGTTTTTTTTTTGGGGGGCCCCAAAAAAAAATTGTCGTTTTCCTCTTTTTTTTTTTGATTTGTTTTT